TTGGGAGTCGGTCGGGTCGCGTGATTGCGTATGAATCGTTAGCTGGCCAGCCTTCGCGTCTAAGTCATTAGCGCGCGTCTATCGTACCCCCTCTCGTGTGCGTCCGTTTTCGAGGCCTCAGCGTCTATACGAACAAGTGCGGCTAAGATCGTTCCCACGCTCGCTCAATTTTCCGTTTCACCGGCTAAGCTAGCGTCATCGTAGGCGTGCGCCAACCGTGCGAGCCACAATCTTGTCACGCATTTACGTCAAGAGGCGGCGTTCCCTCAACCTATAACGGTAGCGACGCAATTCATAACTGCGGCGCCTTCAAGTCTACGACTATCGCTACCTGCGAGGCATCTCTGGTATCGGATGGCACCGACATGTTCTCAACGATAATGTGCATAGGCGAGTGCCATGTCCTGATAGTCAGGTCAGTTCCTAAGAGCGATAAATAGTACTGAATAAGTCGCGATGGCTTATGCATGTGCAACATATGCCCGGTATTTTGAACTTGAGTACGATCCAGCAGACAGACTGAATGTATGTAAATTGAGAAGACGTAGGTCTGAGAGTTAGGCTTTGATCATCTAGAAACCTCGGCACGTAAGCTACAATAGAACAAACGATAGGTCATGACCTAAGAAGTAAAAACGCTAGTTTACAACAGCATAGAAACAGTAACAACGTAAAAGGATACATTCATGTCATACTACCCCACTGATATATGATGAGTAAAAGTAGCGTTTATATAAATTAAGCTTCGCGGTTGCGTAAACAATACAGTCTTGTTCTTTGTTGTTGGATGAGCGTGCTTTCAGCATTAGCACGGATCTCAGAGGAAGCAAGGAAATATTCATGTGTAACACAAGGTGATTCGGTTGTAGACGAGTAGGTTTGAGAAGGGATCAATGTATCTGTAGAGTTGTATGTCATTACCTCGGGACGATCGTTTTCATGTCCTGTAGGTGCCAAAATGCGTATGGATACTGTCTCCTCGCGACCATCCGACAGCCGAACATGAGCGTATTCCGGGTTACACTCTAGCAGATTGACTTCCTCGACAAGAGGGTCATATTTGGAGGAACGCACCATTTTGCGGAGGAGGACAGGTCCAGGCGATAGTAGGGTAATTCCAACTAATGACTTTCTATAATACAGGAACATACGTTCGTGGGGTGTAGCATTAGTGGCAGTGCATCGCAGTGAACGAGTAAAATGTAGGGCACCCCCACTGTTCAACTGCCTGATCGTAGACAACGCGAGATGACTCTTCATAATGTAGTATTGAGTCGCTCCACTTGTCTTTTGCATTAGGGACTGTAGCTAGTTTTTCTGCTGGTTGAATTTTTTTCATTTCCTCTGACATAAACGGAGCACCCTTGTCAGAATGCACATACGGTGACATTCTAAAGATAGAACACAAGTCAGTAAGTATGATAGTAGAGGCCGTCATGCCGGTGCAGGCATATGCAGAAGAGAATCAGGTATATTAATCAATAATTGTGACTGTAGCGGTTACGCGAGGCCGAAGGTGCTGGTCCCTTTAAGTCCATGCTTAATCGTTCGAAAGCTTGAGTTGCTTTGATTAGCGGATTATTGATTGTTGTGTAGAACTTCGGCTTCAGTTGAAGACATATGGAGGCCTGCCAGACTTTCGGTTTCGCATTATCTGAGGAATAAGACAAATTTTTCGCTCGAACGAATTGGGAAGGTCGAGTAACGCCAGGATAGTTTTGTGGATACGCCTCAGATCATTGAGTGTATGGGTGGTTGCACAATATGCCTTCAATAATGTGTCGACTGCGGAATTCTGGGTCCCAGGTCGATATACCACGTCGTAAGAAAACTAAGAGAGCTCGATACGTCATATCTTGATTTTATCGTTTTAAACTTTCCTCCCAGCTTTGTACCGTACATGAAAGCAACTGAGCGCTGGTCAGTTATGTTGAAAATGGATTCCGAGTAGATAGTGCCGCAATTTTCTGATAGCTTCCATGACAGCATAGGCCTCTTTCTCCAGTATTCTTGAGAAAATTGCGACTGCTCGACCGTTCTGATTGAGTGTTGCAGAAATAGCGACATCGGATGCGTCAGTCTCAATCACTAATGGTACGTTTCTGTCAACACCGATCACGGCTTCTTCGACTGCTTCTGCCTTTACTGCTGCATGTGCGTCCAAGACGTTAGTTGGAAGTGGAAAAACCCTATTATGAACGAGCAGATGGATCTTATCCGCAAAGTGTGAGGACCACTGGGAGTAATAGGCAAACATTTCAACTTCTTGTGATTTGAGATCCATTGTCGGAGGTAGCATTATTAGCGGCTTATAGTGATCAGGGTCGGGTTTCACTATGCCCATCGAAATCTAGTAACTAAACAGGTGGCTCCGTGGCCACCAATATGCATTTTCTGCGGTTTAAATAAATAAAATGTTTATTCTCGACTACACGAGGCAAGCCTGCACATGCATGATCATGGTAAAAGTACAACATGTACTCTTTCACATAATTCTTCTTTTCTATATTCTTCCTTATTTCATAGTTGGCCACGACTGGGCTGATCTCCTGTGGTGACGGATTACAGCTTCCAGATTATAAAAGACGTTACCTATGTAAGGCGAATTGCCACCAACTGACTGGCGTATAAAAAAGTGCCATAATAGAATGATTCGCATGACGGACTGGGCTGAGCCTTCATGGCCCATAACACATGTTCAAAAGCTGCTCTAAAAAGAACAAAACATATGATATACAGGTGATGGCACATATGCTACTATGCCACACCGGCACACGGCCAGTTATTGCATGGAAGTGCGAGCGAAACCTTTCGAGGGAATACCTTGCATGGAAGCAGGTCCCCTGGGGATGGTTCCACGAGTGGCCGTATTACTTTAACTGGACATCTGTTTAAATCTGCTTACGTTATTGTTCCTGCTTTTTAATTTCTTTAATGCCTTAATCCTGCCAATTAGTTTAGTACCTGTTTTGGATCCATTGTAAAAAGCGTGAAAAAATTGATTATTTTTTTGCGATCCTGTTGTACACATTGATCAGACCACATAGTTGGACTGCACCTCGAATCACCGCTGAATATACCATTTATTTATTTAGTTAGTTAGTTAATGTGCACTGAAACAATAGGGTTGTCACTTATGTTGTTATATAAATGTATGTATTTTGGCATGTAGGCTTGTGTAGCCGTGTTTATGGGATTCGCAAATGCTTTCCTGCACTTTTGATCTTGTCGCCAGTGCTAAAGAGATGTTTGTGGACTTGAAGCGGTTGTCCGAATAAGTAAGGAGTGACTATTTGGTGGCGAGTCATAATCGCTACGTCAGTGTTGTTAAGCAGACATTTGTGGTTTTTTGTAGAGAGAACGTTGGCCAGGCGAAAACTCACCACCTCCTGGGTGGTGTCAGAGCGTTCGGGTCGTAGAAGCTGATCTATTTCTAGATGATTCAATTGTTGTGAGATTGAATAGGGTTCACCAGATAGGTTGAACATGTGTCGCTTGAGAAGACTTAGGCCCGAGAGTTAGACTTTAATTATCTAGAAACTTCTGTACATAAGCTCCAATAGAACAAACGATAGGTTATAACCCCAGATGTAAAAACGATAGTTTACAACAGCATAAAAACAGTAACAACGTAAGGGCATACATTCCTGTCACCCGGTCATCGCTTACCGAGGAGCGCATTGTTTTCTTTGACAACGGCAAATGAAATCGCTGACAAGCAAACTGAGTGCTGTTGGTCCGTCTCCCCTTCCAGGCCTCGGTTGGTGCCTCCCAACTACCTTGCGGGGGTCGGAAAGACGATGAACACATTTGGATGGATACACCTGTTGGCATGACGGAGAATGGACTTCAATGGCGTTTATGTTGTTTGCTTTCCATCTCCAACTTCGATCCACTACTAATGAATACTATGAAACTGAGGATAAAATGGTTTTCGTTATTTTATTTTGTATTCGCTAATGGTTAGTGCCCTATGTATTATCTTTAGTATTGCGGTACAATCGCCGCGATGTTTCTCCTCTTTAGCTAACTCGTACTTATGATTCTTCCTTTTGTGTTTTTTGAGTGGGAGCTACATAGTCTTGGGTGGCAATACTAAACCTTCCTCTTTTAAACGACTTGTATCTTCAACTTTCCCTTGCTTTTTCATTTCCTCTCATGTCTTAGCATTAGCATAATTTAATGGACGTTCCTACTCTTTTGAGTTTACCCTTTACTCTATCTTCACATAACCAGTTAGAGACCTCGGCCGGTGGCCGAAAAGGCTGCATACCTGCTTTCTAATCCCGAGGTTGTTGGTTCGAATCCGCGTCAGCGCGAACCATCTAGCGGTATAAGCCTTTGCGCGACTTGCTTGTCGCATGATATCGTAGCCTGGATGCTGTGTGGCGGCATATTGCTGATGCATTCTTTCATTCTCTGTTGCGATAACTGGTTGGCCAGAATGTGATGCGGTTTTAGTTTTATCAAAATCTCAAATCTCCCCATCAGTTCTTGGTTCAGAAGAAGATGCATTCGCGTGACTGTCCTATTGTTCCGGTCCCGATTGAAATTGAACACTAGCACACTCGTCTTTTGTAGCATGTCCGAAAGTGTCACTATAGTAATCCAACAGGTAAAAGGTCATCGAGGATCGTCTACAAAGCAATTGTTGTTTCCTCCTCAGTTTTCGCCCACTCTTCGTTTTGTGTCGTTTATAGCAGCCACATCCCGCATGTATTCACGCCATCCATCTCGGACTCCGTCTTCCAGTTGTGATAATGGTATGCAGGTCGCCACGTGTTGTTAGTCAGATGCATCTTCAATCTAGCTCGGTATTTTTCTAGACGATTGTGATGAAACTATCCAACAGCCTACCTTTTGCATTTCAGCCCCTTGCCAGTCTATTACAACTCACATACTCATTGGATATTGAAGCCTTCGTGATTTTTGACCGACCGCATACTACAGTTTGAGACATTTTCAGATGATTTTTGGGATCGTTCACACTTTTTGATCTCATGCGATCCTCTTTTCCACACCTTTACATGGATCGGCTACGAATTACCCAGGTTCGTTCTTGTATACCTCATGTTGCAATGCTTCCTTTTGGCCATGCTGGGGCCCTCAGTGAAGCGCATCGGTATCTTTTATGAAATTAGCGCTTTACCGAATTTATGTTAGCGCATGGTCGCCAATTTATGCCAGATCTTAACCGACGAACATTTCTCGTTTTGTGTAACTCATAATTGTTGCCGATCGTTTTTCGGGCGTTTTTGGCCCTGTATGACATCCGGACATAGACTACCCAGCCCTCTGGACTCGCACATCATCATCATCAACAGCAGTACACCAGCCATTTGAACTGATGCTTCGCTGCCATACAACCACGAGGACCTATGAAATAAAGAATAAGAAGAGGGAGAGAAGGGGGACTTACCTGAAAACCTAAATGCCCTAAGCAGACATTCAGGGTCAAGGCGCCTAAACCTTGTGTAGACAACATACCGTCACAAACAGCTGGCTCTCGTGCAAAGATAAGGCGGAAAACTGGTAGCTCGGGTTGATAATTCAGTTGCTCATTTGTTCGCGGAGCTACGAAATTGGTTTGCAAACGTTTTACCGCCATGCGAGACGGCATCATCAGTGCGAGATTGCACTCCACATCTCGACGCACTGATGATGCCGTCTCGCATGGCGGTGAAACGTTTGCAAACCAATTTCCCAGCTCGGCGAACAAATGAGCAACTGAAAGATAAGGCGGCATCGGTGAGACAGCTTCCTCGCGGCTTTCACTGCCCCGAGTCATAATCAGCCATTACCCCGAAGATAACTCAGCACCAAACACACCTTAAACAGGCAATCCGATTAGGAGACGGCAGCAGACGCGCCACTGGTGTCTACCGCGAGCCATGTCCTGTAAAGTATCGAGTCAAGCATAAGGCGAGTCACGTGGACTCCAGCCCGGAAGGCGAGACGGATCAACGGCACTCAGTTTGGTCGTCAGTGACTTCATTTCCCGCTGCCAAGTCAACTTCTGTCCACCTCGAGCCTTGCACCACCCTACACCTGGCAGACTAAACAAGACCCTCCTAGGTAAGCGGTGACCAGGCATACGTAGCACGTGCCCGAGCCAACGCAACTTATTCAGTGCTATCTGTTGTTCTAGGGAGCTAGCATGTTTATCACTACCTAGTACTCGCCTACGCACATCATCGTTGCGGACACGCTGGTGCCATCCGACACCAGCAATGCTTCGTAGACAACGATGATCAAAGACTTGAAAGGCGCCTCAGATCTTCAGACCGAAGGGGCCAAGTCTCACTGCCATAGAGCAGAACGGCCCTCACTGGGGCCTTGTATACACGGCTTTCAGACGGAGGGAAACTCCCTTCTGTCGCCAAAGATGCCGCAGGTTCAAGAAGGCAGCTCTGGTCTTTGCAATGCGTGAGCTGACGTCAGTTTCTATGCGCCCATCATTGCTGATGCAGCTGCCGAGATAAGTGAAATGATCAACCACCTCGAGTTCCTCGTTAGCAAGCGTCAAGGGGTCATCAAGTGGCTGGTGGTCCTGCAGCAACACTTTGCACTTTGAAGGTGCGAAGTGCATAACAAATAATGGGACCACTCTGGACAGGCTATTCAGAGTTGATTGTGCCGCCCCAACATCGTCGAAAAGCAAGACGATATCGTCCGCATAATCTAGATCAACTAACCTTTCACCAGGCAGCACTTCAACGCCTACATCGTGAGATTCCGCAAGGGAACACTCCATGATAGAATCCACAACGAAATTGAACAAAAATGGCGAAATCAGACAACCCTGACGAACGCCACTTGTGGTCGGAAAGCTATCCGATAGGACACCGTAGACCCTGACGCGGCCTGTAGTGTTCGAGTATAGAGCACGAAGGATGTTCACATATTTCGTGGGAACACCTTTCCGCGCAAGTATTTCCAACAGAATCGATCGACCGACTGAATCGAACGCACTCTTGAAATCAAGGAACACAGCTATTGTCGATCTGCGGTATGCGTCGCGTTGCTCTAGCACCTGCCGCAAAGTGAATATATGGTCTATAAAGCCACGCCCTGAGCGGAAACCGGCCTGCTCTTCCCTAATCCGAGATTCCCGTTCCGCAGTGAGGCGACCAACGATAATCGAGGCCAATAGTTTCGTCACAACTGGCGTTAGGCTAATACACCTGTGGTTAGAACAGTCTGTGCGACTGCCCTTCTTGTATATTGCCACTATATACGATTCGCTCCAATTAGTCGGGACACTCTCTTCCTTCCAGATACATTCGAATAAGCAGGTCAGTGCTTCGCAGAGGACCTCACCTCCATCCTTAAATAGTGCAGGTGGGAGGGAATCCGGGCCAGCGGCACGAAAACGATTAAGGGCTGTGATCGCGTTTCGGACCTCGGCCTCCGACCGAGGCTCTAAACTAACCGTCCATGGCTCGTCCTGCATCACCTGAGTAGGAAGAGGTCCGGGAGCAGGGAGCCAGCTGAACTGATCTTGAAAGTGTTCCGTCCAACAAGCCATACGGCGCTCCTTATTGTGTATCAGCGCACCGATACACTGACGCCTGGTTTTCTGGGACCAGTGGTGCGGATTAGCTGGAAGAGCTTGCGATAATTGCCTACTGCTCCTGCCTCCTCCACTTCTTGAGCCCTACTGGTCCACCACGCTTCCTTGTCAGCACCTAGGCTCTGCTTTACTTCACGCCTAATAGCCCGTCTGGTCACATTGTGCTCAGAGCCAGTCGGAAGGTGTCTTCTAGATTCCAACAGGTTCACCGACCTCTCGGATATCCAGTGACTGGTGCGATGACGACGGATAGTGCCACAAGCAGATGCTCCTGAGTCGTGCATGGCGGCCGAGATCCTATTCCACTGAAGCGCAGGGTCATTAGGACAAGACAGCAGAAGTCCGGTATACAGTGCTTCGTGATAAGCTTGCCTGACCGAGGACTGAGACAATTTCTCAGTTGCCAATCGTAGGGGACACTTGGTGCGCCTCCCGGTAAAGTTCATGGAGAAACGACAGCGTACCAAGGTATGATCAGAGTCGACACAGGCACTCCAGTATGAGCGGCAATCCAAGATGGAGCCACGCTACCTGTAACTTATGGCTATGTGGTCAATTTGGGTCCATCGCTGGCCAGCTACAGGAGGACGCCAAGTGACACTTCGGCGCCCACTGTGTCTAAAAGCAGTGCTACTAGAAACAACTGGTGCTCCGCACACAGTTGCAGCAGACGCTCACCGTTGTCAGTCCAGTCCACAATTACCCCCCAGCTGAGCTTCTGAAGAGGGCAGATGCCCTACTTGTGCGTTCATATCACCTGCAAGTATTATGCTATCTGAAAAGTAGCACTGCGTAGTAGCGCGTTCAGTTCGTGACAAAATGTGTACTTGATACCATTAGAGCTGCAGTCGTTGGGAGCATAAGCGGAAATCACAAACAAACAGCGCTTTGTACTACTTCGTGAATCCACCTTAGCTGATGTCGTCAAACGGCCTGCACATAAACGGCTGTTTATCGGAATCCAATCAACCAAGGATAGGTTAGCCTTGGAGCTTAGAATGATACCTACACCAGCTTGACCCGTGAGTGCTGCATTGGCGTCTCCGGATGCATGCAACCAATAACGAGAGGCTAAGCCGGGTGCAGTTAATTCAATAACCCCGTTAGGGTCATTGATCCTAGTTTCGGACACACAACACACATCAATACCCAGTGTGTCCAAGGTGCGTGCGAGTGCAGCCTATTGACCTGTTTGTCTTAGAGTGCGGACGTTGAATTTCGCCATGGAAACGGGATAACGTGGCCTTATAAGGGTCTTTTGCCCATAAGTGTGGAGGGATGGTGGATGCAGATGGTTCTACTCCAGTGGCACTTCGGTTGCTGCCAATTAAGCTGGGAATTATAGAATGAAGGTTAGTAATGGGGGTCGGGATGGGAGTAAGAGAAAAGGTGGAAAAGAAAGAAGAGAGGCGCCAGCAGTAGCATGCTTTCGCTTATCCGCCCTGCTGTATGCAGCAGATAAGGCAACCCTTGATAATCTGCGCGACGGCCGATGCAGGATGAAGTTTATGTTTGAAGCAAATGTCATGGTTGTATGTGGGCTGGGATACTGCCAGGGCGCCCAGACCTAGACAGGAGAACGATTAGGGTCCTCATCCAAAGCCTTTGGCTCAAATGCCTGTCCGCAAGGCAGCGGGGTGGCAGTGATTTAGTTTTACAGAAATGGACGCCATCCCATTTCAAACCCCCAACCTGGAGGACCAGGAGACTGAGTTTGTCTGACCTCTCACCATTGACCAACCTGGTAGGAGTAGCTCTCAAGATGCTCGGAGGCACCACCCAGTATAGCTTAATGGGTCAATGAGGTACGCAAACCGTCGCACCACGTTAAGGTTCAGTCTCGTTTCGACTCCCACAGATATTTGCTGCATTCATGTAAACTGGCAATTTGTTGTACGCAAATCATTTTGATGAGAACTTGACGTTTATGATCTGGTTTGGGATCAGATCAGAAAAGCACACGAGCATTGCTATGTCTGTCGACATAGGTGGATGGTCAACCTTCCCACTCCCGCATCTTTTCGATCACTCACATAAGTGCACAAGTGCAAAAGATAGATATGACGTTAGATACTTTAGTTGGTCTTTAATGCCACCGACCGCAGCCGTCGTCTCTTTTTGATAAAATCACATACTCGGTCTGCGCGATTGACCCAGAAGTTGCCACTTAGTGACGGATTTATGCGACCCGCGTCTTTTAGGATATATATATATATATATATATATATATATATATATGGTTGGCGGCATCCGGTTTCGGATTTGCCTGTTACTGTGGCAAGCCACAGGACGTCTGCGCCTACAGAGGGACCATGGGTGGCTTGCGCTGCACCACCCACAGCTCCAACCACACCACCCATATCCCGAAGGAATAAGATCGGGAGGCATGCGTTTCATCAACGGAGCCGGCCCACACTCCTTCACAGGCAAACACAAGCACACTGTATTTGGGAATCAAGCGCACACAAGGCGGTGGCT